TTAACACTGCCCCCCCCCCAATAAGACAGATTACAGGGAGAAAAAGAAGCAAGTTTAATAACATGTATACCTCCTGTATACAGGGGAGATACCCAAGAAAACTGAGTCCCTCCCTGAAAAGGCCAAAGGCATCACCTTAAATATCACCTTCAGCTAAAAACAAAAGCAAGGCCTCTGGGAGGGAGGAAGTCATTTATGGCAGATTATCATGAAAGCTCAGTAAACAAGGGTGTAAGGTTTAAAGTTTGTGTCTCCATTCACTTCACTCCGTATGGCTTCCAATGGATTGTTTCTTAAGTATTTGGAGAAGTTACAGATATTTGGCTCCATTTCAGTTTGAATTTCCAGTTTAAAAGATTGAGAAGGGCCGCTGTCAGGGCGGGGCCTCCACTGGCTGTGAGGGCGGCTGGGTCCGCGCTTTCCCATTGGCTGGCCGGGCCCGGAGCCCGCCTCCCCCAGCTGCGGCGGGAACTCGTGTGCGTTCTGCCTGAGGATTTGGCGTCCTGCGCAGCTGCCTGGAGCCGCGTCTCCTCTGGACCTGCCGGGGCTTCAGGACAACAGGGGGTTATGTCCACGCTGACAGGAGTCCAGTCTCCTCAGGACCCAACAGGAGGTGCTGCACTGAAGAGAAGGTGAGGAGAAAGGAAAAATGAGGGAAAGTGAGGAGAAGTTTCCCGTGAGGGGCTTACAGCTGAGGGGAAGCCCTCCTCAGTGGCCCTGGGAGAGGAAGGGCTGGATGTGGGAAGCTGTGGGTTTTAGTCAGGTTTTGTGTGTTGTGCAGAGAGTGTGCCGTGTCCTTCTTTGCCATGTGGTGTCCAGTTTTCCCAGCATCATTCATCGAGGGGACTGTCCTTTCCCGGTGCAGGTTCCTGGCTCCTTTCTTGTGAATTAACTGACCACATCCCTGTAGGTTTGTTTGCAGACTTTTTCTGGTCCATGTCCCTGTCGTTGTGCCAGTTCCACAAAGTTTTGGTGACTGTGCTTTTGTAATGCAGTGTGAAGTCAGGGAGGGAGATGCCTCCAGCCTGTTTCCCTTTTGTAGAATCTCTTTAGCAGTTCAGGGTCCTTTGTGTTTCCACATGAATGTTAGGAATGTTTGTTCTGTTTCTGTGAAAAATACCACTGAAGTTTATTTTATTTTATTGAAGTGTAGTCAATTCACGATGTTCTGTTGTTTTCTGGTTTAGGGCACAGTGATTTGACATGCCTGCTTTGAATTTGAACACTGCTTTGGGTAGAATGGGCATTTTAACAATATTAATTCTTTCTGTCCATGAGCACAGGGTATCCTTCCATTTACTTGTGTCTGTTCAGTTTCTTTCCCTGTTGTCTTAGAATTTTCAGTATGCAGGTCTTTCACATCCTTGATTCAGCTTATTGCTAGGTATTTTTTTGGATGCAATTGTAAATGGGATTTAAAAAATGTCTCTTTCTGTTTCATTATTAATGTATAGAAAGGCAACTGATTTTTGTGTATTGATTTGTACCTTGTAGCCTTACTGAAATGATTTATTAGTTCTAACAGGTTTTTGATGGTTT